CCTTAGATGATAGAGATTCACTAACAATTTTATTAATTGATTCGCTCTGTTTACCTGGTACCCCATACCTAAAATCGCTATTGTTCACCCGATGGCCCCAAAATACACAAGCAAAGCCTGGAAGACACCTATGATTAAATACCATTGACCTGGGGATATTCTTTATTATTAACAGCCGTGTTTTATATTCATAAATAGAACGAAGTTAACTGTCTCACAATAAACGCACCATTTATTTTAAAGATAGATATCTCATCTACGCCACAAGTGACATATGTTGCTAATAGTCAGTCGGGTTTTTTGGATCCGTGTTGAGATTTCGTCAGACACTATGTTGGGATATTCAGAAAAATATCCCAAAAATTATTCTGTTAAGTCTAATGCTATCCTTGGACTTGAGATGATATCACTTTCTTATTGGCCAAGTATTTATTTCATGTGTCATTTTCCTACTGGTCAATACTTATTTCACATGTCATTTTCCTGTTGGCCAAATATTGTACAAATGTTATTTTCTATTTTATGGTACGTTGTGATCTTCTTGATTGGTATATAAACAGAGTATGTTTGAAATATAACGATTCATATCGCAGAGGCTGAGACTTGTGTTCTGGACTTATCTGGCTGGGTTAGACTGGAAAGCAGGGTCAATCAGAGCTCTAGACTGCTCGCACGTGTTTACGCGTCATTGATCCGATCGATAAGTCACTACTCTTTAATCAGCGGTCACAAGTTATAACACACTATACGTCAGGAATGATGAGAATGAAAAAGTCGATGCGCTCAACCAGGCCATTTCCTATTCTTATTTCACGCACTGATCCAAGCCAATCTTGAAGCAAAATTTTGCACTCAGATTGAGAGAATTGTAACATACTCGGAATGCTGCCTTACTCTATAAGCTTAGATAGTTGTTTATTGTCACTTATAACCGTTCCCTGTTCCACCTCCTCAGCTTTCGCTACCCGTCACTACTTACAGCCGGCCTACATTTGGGTTGATTTCGAGCTCATCGTACTCGGAGCCTGACAGGTTGAATTCCCAAATATTTATCTGTTCAGTAGACGCCGCCAAAATCCACTGATATTTTTTAACCTTTTGGTTTAAGTTACTGGCAGATACCACTGCTGTTTCCAAAGAATTCTGGATTTCATGGAAAGCTACATCAGGGTGGATATCATAATCATGGTTGACTAACTGTTTCTCTAGTTGTTCCTGAAATATATTCTCGATTTTTCTATCATTAAGTTAAAACACAACTCCGCCTGGGCTACTGCCGGTCCCAAGCCCGGATAAAGGAGGAGGGTTGGGCATGGGGTTAGCGTCCCCATCCCGTAGAAAACTAACTCGCTGGGACTGGGAGAAAGAAACGAAAATGGTGAGAGATTTGCAAATCTATGTGCCTTCAATAAGCTGGTCATAGGCGGCACCATATTCCCACATAAACGCATACACAAAACCACATGGACTTCACCGGATCACACCACACAAAACCAAATCGACCATATTTGCATCAACAAAACGTTCAGGAGGACTATAGAGGACGTGAGAACCAAGAGAGGAGCTGATATAGCATCAGATCATCACTTACTGGTCGCCAAGATGAAATTGAAACTCAAGAAGCACTGGACAATGGGGCGGACAATATCACAAAAGTTCAATACGGCCTTTCTTCAGGATACTAACAAACTCAACAAATTCAAGATAGTCCTCAGCAACAAGTTCCAGGCCTTTCATGATCTACTCAATGGAAAAGGAACTACTGTGGAGAGCAACTGGAAGGGGATCAAAGAGGCAATCACTTCAACATGTCATGAGGTCTTGGGTCACAAGAAGCACCACCACAAGGAATGGATCACTGTTGATACACTGGTAAAGATTCAAGAAAGAAGGAACAAGAAGGCAGCGATCAATACCAGCCGAACAAGAGCAGAAAAAGCCAAGGCACAAGCTGAATACACGGAAATAAACAAACAAGTGAAGAGGAGCATCAGAACTGACAAACGTAAATATGTGGAAGATTTAGCAACGACGGCGGAAAAGGCTGCAAGAGAAGGAAACATGAGACAATTGTATGACACGACAAAGAAACTCTCTGGAAATCGCCGCAAACCAGAACGACCAGTGAAAAGCAAGGAAGGCAAGGTAATCACCAACATTGAAGAGCAACAAAACAGGTGGGTAGAACACTTCAAAGAACTGTTGAATCGACCAGCTCCACTGAACCCACCCAACATCGAAGCAGCACCCACGGACCTCCCAATCAATGTTGGCCCACCAACAATTGAAGAAATCAGCATGGCCATCAGACAAATCAAGAGTGGCAAAGCAGCAGGACCGGACAACATCCCAGCAGAGGCACTAAAAGCAGACGTAGCGGCAAATGCAAGGATATTCCACATTCTCTTCAATAAGATTTGGGATGAGGAACAAGTACCAAAAGACTGGAAAGATGGACTTCTGATCAAAATACCGAAGAAAGGCGATCTCAGCAAGTGTGATAACTACAGGGGCATCACTCTTCTCTCAATACCGGGAAAAGTCTTCAACAGAGTATTGTTAAACAGGATGAAGGACTGCGTAGACGCCCAACTTCGTGACCAACAGGCAGGATTCCGTAAGGATAGATCGTGTACAGACCAAATCGCAACTCTACGGATCATTGTGGAACAATCAATTGAATGGAATTCATCACTCTACATCAACTTCATTGACTACGAAAAGGCATTTGATAGCGTGGACAGAACAACACTATGGAAACTTCTTCGACACTACGGCGTGCCTCAGAAGATAGTCAATATCATACAGAACTCATATGATGGATTACACTGCAAAATCGTGCATGGAGGACAGTTGACAAAGTCGTTCAAAGTGAAGACCGGTGTTAGGCAAGGTTGCTTACTCTCACCCTTTCTCTTTCTCCTGGTGATCGACTGGATCATGAAGACGTCAACGTCTGAAGGGAAGCGCGGGATACAATGGACATCTAAGATGCAGTTGGATGATCTAGACTTCGCAGACGATTTGGCCCTTCTATCCCAAACGCAACAACAGATGCAGGAGAAGACAAACAGTGTGGCAGCAGCCTCAGCAGCAATAGGCCTCAATATACACTTTGGGAAAAGCAGGATTCTCCGATACAACACAGAATGCACCAATCCAATCACAATTGACGGAGAAGATTTGGAAGATGTAAAAACCTTTACGTATCTGGGCAGCATCATTGATGAACAGGGTGGATCTGATGCAGATGTGAAGGCGCGGATCGGCAAAGCAAGAGCAGCATATTTACAACTGAGGAACATCTGGAGCTCAAAGCAACTGTCAACCAACACCAAGGTCAGGATTTTCAATACAAATGTCAAGACAGTTCTACTGTATGGGGCAGAAACCTGGAGAACTACAAAAGCCATCATCCAGAAAATACAGGTGTTTATCAACAATTGTCTACGCAAAATACTTCAGATCCATTGGCCGGACACTATTAGCAACAACGTACTGTGGGAGAAAACAAACCAGATCCCAGTGGAGGAAGAAATCAGGAAGAAGCGCTGGAAGTGGATAGGACACACATTGAGGAAAGCACCCAACTGCGTCACAAGACAAGCCCTCACATGGAATCCTGAAGGTCAAAGGAAAAGAGGAAGGCCAAAGAACACATTACGCCGAGAAATGGAGATAGACATGAGAAAAATGAACAAGAACTGGAAGGAACTAGAAAAGAAGGCCCAGGACAGAGTGGGTTGGAGAATGCTGGTCAGCGGCCTATGCTCCATTGGGAGTAACAGGCGTAAGTAAGTAAGTAAGTAAGTAAGTAAGTAAGTAAGTAAGTAAGTAAGTTAAAACACTCGGATTGTCAGAATGTAGACTGATAAAAATGACTTAGAGAAACCATAATACAAATAATAACTAAAGATTTCAAAGGGAAAAAACCATTACTTACGCAAATGCTAAGTGAAGGAGCTGAATATGCAGGGGTAGACTTCGTTAGGAAATGACAATAATGTACAATGTGAACAGTTTCTTTATAATTTGTCAAGAAATGAAGATAACAATTAAATGAAATACATTTCATATGTGAGTAAAAACATATCAATTATTTCAATGAAAAAGAATCACAAAAGAGATTATCTCTTACACGATTAACAGGTAGTTATTATTTTGACTCAATGGCCAAATTTAGTTGGGAACTGTTGAAGTTCTGGTGACAAAAAGGAACGGCGATGGTTACAATTAGAAAATAATAAGTGTGAAAAGTGGTGTAAAAATAAATAAAATTATGCAGTAAGACAATCAATGTACCTATTGTAGAATGCCCCATCCTTGCGTTTTTAAATTCGTTAATGTGCTAACATGTGATCTACTCACCAAATACAGGTTTGTGCATCAAGAACCACTAATAATCAGCTAAGCCCAATGTCTTTTGGAATGACACGGGTGTAATTTATTAAGCACATTGTGAGAAAGTGAAAAATACATAGAATAAGCTTCAATTTCTATAATTGCAGAATACTGTTTCAGGACTCTGTAGCGTCAGTCAACCCACCAATGTCAATAGTCTTACCAAACAAATTGGTTTAGTGGCTGGTGAAATTTCAGCATGAATATGAAAAGTTCATATGACTTCACATAATTTGTCTCACTCGTGGAGCGTGATAGATGACTGTCAATCTATCACAAAGACACTATACTGAGTATAAACTAGCTAGGTATTCTTTTACGAATATGAAACAACTCCAGCAGAAAGTATCCGTAGATTAAAAGTATTTTGTCTATGACACTCGTGTATGATGGAGTAATTAAATGATTAATGCTAAAGAATTAAGAAGCGGGGTATTAAATAAAACTAGAAAATAAGTTATTAACATTCTGAATCTTTAAATACCTTTCATTTTAAGCCATGGAGTCAAGAACAATTTCAAGTGCATGTGAAACACTAATATAAACTAGGAAAATGCAAAAACGTTTAGCTTACTCAAATAAAAACCAGACTGTTTTTGTTATCCCGTGAAATCTGAATCGATATCCATACACAAAACGTTACCAAATGTAGAGGAATTGGTAGGGAAGACAGTAGATGAATCGAGCACTTGACTATCTGGTAACACTTTAGAGTCCGAGTTTTCTTCACTTGACTCTTGATCTGAGAAATTAGGCGGAAGTAAACCTTTAAGGGGATCAGGATTAAACGGCACTATCGCGAGTGACGGTTCAGATGAAAGCCTAATAAAATTACATTATTTTAGTAAAGAAAAAGAGTTGCATAGTGAAGAATGAAGTTTTCCCTTGCAAAGAAATAATGAAATATGATCTATTTTCACATAAGGTTACATACTACAAAACAGAGGTCAATAAAGAATGGAATATTCATCGAATACCAAGGGAAAGTAATTTTCGACATTGTTTTACCGATTACATCACGGGTCGCGTCGGATGCTGGATATGTGCGACAACGAATAAACATAGCATTAGCATTGATTTGAAGCTTAAACATGCACTATTTAGAGATTTCCTTATGATTGGTGAGAATGAAATCAGAATAAACTTTGATTGTTAAGTGGAATATACAGTATTTTCCCTAGTGAATATCAATAAATATAACTTCTTTCTGTAGTTATACATATCAATGAGTGAGATATGTATGTACTCACTGCCTTCTCGCGAAATTACTGTTGTTTATGAAATTGAGAAGACGATAAGAGGATGTCTGGCGCTTTAACCGGCTCAGTGGATATGGAAGATCCACCTAGGGGAGTTGGAAAACCCTGTTTCCAAAACAATAGTATACATGGGCTCCAGGATCCTGAGGGTAAAAAGGCTTATAAACCTATTGTTGGTCATCGGCTACCACAGGACCGTATCTCCTGATGTTGCTCCACTGCCTTGTGGATTAGACCTTTAGGTCAAAGACTCCGAGTGTGGACCCTAAGAAAACCACCTGCTTCGGGTTGGGCACCCGGGCCTCACATAAAGCAATGATGACTGCTACTAGCCTCATTGTTATTGCGTGGCGCATATATATTTGGTGCCCCCTTGTACCAATGTTTATCTGTTCAAATAAATAAATAAAATTAACAACTTATGGATTCACTAACTGTTGGTCTAATCTGTAAAGGGTTGCTGAACGACAGTGAGAGAGATAATCGAATATTTAAGCTGGACTGGCTTGAAAATAGTTTTCATCATGAAGAAACACATACCATTTATCATCATTACAATTTAGGTCAATTGATACTCCACATCTTTATTCGTTATCTTAACTTATTTAATTAGTGTCTCATTCATTAACAAGTATTAGGATCATTAATATAGGGTAGATGGAATGTGGCTAGTAGTAGAATCCAGGACGTGTGTTTTGTCCTACTTGGGACTTGCTAGATTTGATGTTCGTTTAGAGACATGAACTCCATACCGTTCGCTTCAAACTCCATAGTTACCCACTTAGCTACTAAGTCCAGATAGCCACTTACTTGTACAACGGGTATAATTTTTAATTCAATTTGGAACGGTTTGGGCTATCTCATTTTTGACATTTTGACTCACACTTGATCAGTTTGGGATATCTGGACTCAGTAGCTAAGTGGATAACGTGATGGAGTTAAAGCAAACGGTTCTGGGTTCAAGTCCCGGAATGAGCATCAACTCTGGGATGCATGTGTATCCAGCTGGCAAGTCCCAAGTAGGACTAAATGCGCGTACTAGATTACACCACTAGCCGCATTTTATGTATTCTACATTAACTTGAGTCATAATGGCTATATTGAAGAGATCCGCACAGGTTGCACATACGCCAAAATATCAACCACGGGATAATCCAACCTATCTCAAACTAAATAAAGATCATTATTTTCAATGACATTTTTCAGTGTTGATCTGAAGTGTGGTAAAATTGTATGATGTTTCACACTATTTCCGCTTCCTTGTTTAATTTATTTTGTTACCACAAGAAAAACGACTGCAAACGTATGCATTTTTATCCGAACAATGCTAGGTCGTGGTGAACAATAGAGTACTAAAATATCAAAAGCAACAGTTAACAGTAATAGTAAACGAAGAAACTTACAGTCCTCTTAGGAACGTATCTGTTGGATTCATTCGTTTAAATCTTAAGTGATCTTTCAAATCATTTGAAAATCGTAAAGGTGATCTGTGATGAAATTTAAAGTAAATTAGTTTATACCAATGAGAGATGAGAAAATGTTATCAATTTAATTTTCGTATAATTATTAACAGGTATGTAGTTCAAGTTACTCCTTTATTCAAAAAATTTGAATATTATCATTATTATAGGCTAATTAATAAATCACGTTTGTTAGGAATAAAACAAATGCATAATTCAGCAATGAACGACATTTCTCAGTTGTCAGTTAAATTATTCATTTGGCGAATTGGATAACATTAGATTTCATAAAACCAAATCCCTTGATAAATTTAAACAGAGCAAGAACAACGATGTTTGCAAAATAAAATGGATTCATTCTATTTGACGGTTTTTCAACGGCTGTGAATATACTTACTTACTTACTTACTTACGCTTGTTACTCCTCGTGAAGGAGCATAGGCCAGCATTCTCCATCCAACCCTGTCCTGGGTAATCCTTTCCAGCTCCTTCCAGTTGTTATTCATCCTTTTCATATCTGCTTCTATTGTCCGACGTAATGTGATCTTTGGCCTTCCTCTTTTCCGCTTCCCTTCAGGATTCCAAGATAGAGCTTGCCTCGTGATGCAGTTTGACGATTTGCGTAATGTATGTCCTATCAACTTCCAGCGTCTTTTCCTAATTTCTTCTTCAGCTGGAAGTTGGTTTGTTCTCTCCCACAGAAGGCTGTTGCTGATGGTATCCGGCCAATGGATGTTGAGTATCTTGCGTAGACAGTTATTTATAAATACTTGTACTTTCTTGATTGTGGTTGTTGTAGTTCTCCAAGTTTCAGCTCCATACAGTAGAACTGCCTTGACGTTGGAATTGAAGATTATCACTTTGATATTGGTTGAAAGTTTTTTTGAGTTCCATATGTTCATTAACTGAAGGAATGCAGCCCTTGCTTTTCCAATCCTTGCCTTTACGTCTGCATCTAAACCTCCTTGTTCATCGATGATGCTTCCCAGGTATGTGAAGGACTCTACATCTTCCAGAGTTTCGCCATCAAGTGTGATTGGATTGCTGTTTTCCGCTTTGAATTTGAGGACCTTCGTTTTCCCTTTGTGTATGCTGATGCCTACTGATGCAGAGACTGCTGCTACACTGGCTGTCTTCATCTGCATCTGTTCATGTGTACGTGATAGGAGGGCTAGGTCATCTGCGAAGTCCAAATCGTCTAATTGATTCTGAGCTGTCCATTGTATTCCGTGTTTTCCTTCAGATGTTGAGGTCTTCATAATCCAGTTGACCACCAGAAGAAAGAGGAAGGGAGAGAGTAAACAGCCTTGTCTGACTCCGGTCCTTACTTGGAATGCATCTGTCAGGTGTCCTCCATGCACTACTTTGCACTGTAGTCCGTCGTATGAGTTCCGGATAATATTGACAATCAACCTTAAATATGTTTACTCATACACTTCATATCCCTCTTCTTCTTATTATGATTTCGATTATGTTTGAAACATTTACCTATACCTCATAAACTCAAGTGTGCTGAACATTTGTAAATTACTGTATTAATAATTGTACTTTTAGGTTCTATGTAGCAGATGAGAAACCGTGAAGTAGAATGAATTTATTTTACTCTGCAAACCTTGTTCCCGTTCTGTTTACACATCAGATTATTGATTATACACTAGCTCAATTTATTTGAACTTATTGAATGACCAAAACGTTTTAGAATCTAGTTTCCTTTCACACATCTACGAGGCAATCTCGTACTGTTATACACGTAGCAGGTAAAAACACTTCACGGTCAAAGCGAACGACTGTATAAGTAGCAAAGATCAGTATTTTTCTAAGGTCACACCTTTGATAAATCAGTCCCATTTTAAATCATTACAATATACCTGGTGTTTTATCCCTGAAGACAATTGGAATTTTCTGTTTTTTATGCAAATTACACTATGTTATGAGCAATTGTTGTGAGCAATATCTTCGTACACACAAGAATTCATATCTTGAGATTAATAAAGCTTATTGTTATTCTAAGCTAAGGTTATGCGTTCAGAAAAAAATTATATATATATATATATATATATATATATATATATATATATATATATATATATATATATATATATATATATATATATATATTAGAGACCTTTCGATTTGCGCATCTTCATCAATATCCTCATCGTCATTAATAGTAATAACACCCGCTTCTTTGTTAGTGTGCAATGACAAGTTTTGATACAAGTGATGAGCGGAAGCAATCTGACTTGAGTCAAGTGGAAAGCAGGACGAATCACCAAACAAAGGTGAGTTGCAATCACCTTGAATTTTGGATGCGTCGACCGGTAAGGTTAGATTCATTTGAGCAAAATGATTTGCCATAGCCGTTTCACAGAGGTAGTATTTGTGGGGTATAACATTATCCGAAACAGGACTCCTAGAAACATTTAAAAACAGCAGTAGGAAGTGAAATTTGCAAACGTAAATTAATTACTCAGAAATGTATTTATTACTGAAGTCCTAATAAGAGTGACAATAATTGCACAGGTAGTAGGAGATTAGGAAAGACTTCCGTAAAGCTTAGTTATTTGCATAAATGTTGTCGGTGACCAATCTCAACCAATTACTACTATTTCACTGCTCTGCCTCAAGTTTTTTAAGTCCCCTTGGCAATATCATAAACCAAGATGAAAGCCAGTTAGTCATGAAATATTTTGTAATATTCCTTACATCGTAATTAACAATGCTACTGAAACAAATATTTACAAATGTTATGAAAAGCTATATGTTTCCATTTCGCACTTCAAGTCAACTACAAGACTCTCGTCAAAGATGATTCAAGGAAGATTCCTTTGAATACATATCGCGTCTAGTGCATATTTGCACATTACAACCGTTCAATAAGTGTGAATATATTACCGGTGAGATTATAATTTATAGTTGTGAACCGACTTTGTTTTTGTATATTTATTGCATCAAAGTATACTTGGTTGACTTTAATTTGACTTATTTCGAGTAGGGTTTGGAATTTTCTTTCAAATTCAATTCAATGTTATCCTTTTTAGTTGATTTTCAAGATGGTTCACTCTACTCATAAATGTGGACGGCCGAATTGCTGTTACGTGCAAGGAATGCAATGTGAAGAGTGCAATAAGTGGTTCCATAAGATTTGCACCCGTATAAATCCCACTGCATACAAAAGGTGCTCAAAGCCTAACTTCAATTGGCTTTGTATGTTTTGTTGTTCGAGCAACACATTACTCATCCAAGAGACAATTAGCTTTCTGGTGTTGGCCAGAAAAAAGGTTTATGAGGGCTGAACTGGTAACATGGGTACTGACAGCGACGAATGTGTCAGTGTCGTAAGTGCTGTTACAGAACGTGTCAGACTCTCAACCGTGTGACATGCAATAGGGAAGTCCCCCTTGAAACAATTAAAGAGTGAACCACCACTGGATATTGATGGTCATGTTGCTAGAGTAGTAACTGATGACCTAGATAAAACCGATACTGTCCCAGGTAATCATGACTTGGATGCCCCAAATGATGGATAGTACGGAAACAGAGGAGAGAAAAAATGGCCACAAACAGCGCCCAATTAGTTGACAAGTCTTTGTTGGGCTCACACTGAGTCGCAGATTATCTCGCCAAAGTCTCAAAGTAATACAATATTAACCCATAATGTAATTCGAAAAAGTTTGTTCTCATCAAATATTGTCGTAAGTAATGCGCTCGACTCAGATAACTCTGTTTCGAGAACAACCAAAGATAAGCTCCCGGTAGTTAACAGATAGGATATGACATCACGATCGAAAGCCGTGAACACGACTTTTAAGGAAGTCAAATCCGTTCTTAGTTTATTTTTTTTTGGAATCTTGAGTCAAAATATAATGGCCCTGCTAAAAGGCATGCACACAATTTGGATTTATTTGAGTGTGCCATCAGAAGTTTCAGGGGTACATATCACGAAAGCGATAAGACTCGGTTAGTTCGCTGGAGGCGAGACCCAACCAGGAAGGATCCTGAAGTTAGTACTTAGAAGTCATGAAGACAATTCATACTGAATAATGCATACAAAACTCGTAATTCAAATATTCGTATCCGACTAAACTGGTTGCCTAAGGATCGAATCAAGTGGAAAAATGCCCTTACAAGGTTAAAAATTCGAAAGCTAACTGGAGAAAAAAACCTTAAAAGTCGGGACTTTCGGGTGGGCAGGTCTTGAAAGTCAATGCTTCCGGGACCTGTATGAGCCTTAAATGCGTGCTACACGAAAGCTCTTGGTATGCGAAATAAAGCGTCCGAGTTAAGTACAATGGTGGATGAGTCATTTCACGACATGTGTTGCCACAGAAACGTGGCTCTCCGTAGATAACGAATGTTCCCCCATTATTCCGGGTTACATCTGTATTAGAAGTGATAGTTATAAACCGCGATGGATGAGGCATAATACTATATGTTGGAGATCAATTTCATGTACAACTAATCACATCAGAGGCGCATGAAAGTGGTACATGCGAGGTAGCTTGAAGTAAAATGAAGTCTAGACACAGGTCAGTGACTATAGGAGGAATATACCGCAGTCCACGTTGTCCACCTAACGACTTTATCGTTAGTCATATACATTCTTGGGTTAAGGCCGACTGTTGTCACATCATTGGGGATTTTAACGTGCCGCATATCAAATGGATAGAGTTTCCAACTTCAGATGGATGTTTCGATAGCAGCCTATTATCAACCATAATTCGGTGTGCACTTGCAAACTGTATCGCAAAACCGACACATATTGACTTGGAACATGAACCGTCATTGCTAGACCTTGTCTTTAAACACCACTGTGATGGTGTCATCGACATTCAGCACCTTCCCCCCACTAGCAAATAGTAATAACATTGTACTTTACTTTAGGTTTCGAACACACGATATACAGTATGTATCTGTGTTATATCCCGATGAGAATAATGAATGGTAACTTTTGGGACTCAGTTATAGACCAATATTATACATATATTTTTGTCATATAATTGTAAAGTAATTAAATTATTCATATTCGTGTCCCTCTAATTATCAGCTTTATCTTGACCCATGAACTATTATTATACGATTTACCATTCTTGAGTTATGTCTGGTCTATCGATTATTATCTCCCTTATTCACAGTCAAATTTGGCTAAGTCTTGTACAAATGTTATTTCCTATTTTATGGTACGATGTGGTCTGTTTGGTTGATATATAAACCCAGTATGTTTTAAATAAATGATTCATATCACAGAGCTTTAAACCACCGGGCCCACATGACTTACCTCCAGCTCTTTTTAAAGATGGTGGTGACTTTCTGGTTAAGGAATTGACTACATTGTTTACAAAGGTTTGGGGGCTAGAGAGGGTACCAACGTCATGGAATGAGTCGATAATTGTCCCTATCTTTAAAAAGGGTTCACGTCGTTCCTGTAACAACTCTCGGGTGATAAGTCTACTTCCGATTGCGTCCAAGCTATCGGCTTCCGACAGACTTCGTAGGTTGTTCGAAACCCGAGAAAGATTGACTCGCGAGGAGCAGGCTAGTTTCCGTTCTGGTCGAGGATGTATTGATCGTATATTCACCCTCCGCCAAATGTTAGAACACCGTCATACTTATCACCGGCCAACAATCATAATGTTTCTCGACATCAGGGCTGTCTGAGAAGTTTATTAACATTCTAAAGGCCCTATATACAAACACCTCAGGCAGAGTGAGGGCATACAACCACCTCTCTTCACTATTCCATTCAAGCAGTGAGGTTAGACAAGGTTGCCCAATCTCACCATTCCTCTTCAACTTCACCATCGGTGACATTCTGGAAACAGCTCCGATGGATGTAAGTAATGGCGGTGTGGATGCGGATGATAATGTCTTACTGTGTGATAATACTCAACTAGTGCAACCCTCACTTCATCAGCTGGTAATTAGTGTCCGTAGGTATGGTATGTGCTTTGGACCTTCGAAGTGCAAAGTACTTCTACAAGACTGGCAGGATTCTAATCCTGTACTCACCCTGGGTGATGAGCAGATTGAATTAGTCGAGACGTTCGTGTATCTAGGTAGCTACATAAGTGCTGGTGGTGGCGTGAGTGATGATATCAATGCACGTATAGTGAAAGCCAGAGCGGCTTAGGCCAATCTGGGCCATCTTTGGCGCCTTCGTGATGTTAGTCTGGCTGTGAAAGGTCGGATCTACAAAGCGTCGGTGAGAGCAGTTCTGCTCTATACTTGTGAAATCTGGCCTCTCTGAGTTGAGGATGTTATACGGCTCTCTGTGTTTGATCATCGTTGTCTCCGAAAGATTGCTGACATCCAGTGAGAACACCATGTTAGTAATGCAGAGGATCGGTATCGTGTATTTGGGCGAAGAGAAGATAATCCAATTGGTGTCATCATCTTGAAACATCGATTTCGGTGGCTTGGACATGTTCTACGAATGTCCTCCCAGAGAATTCCACGTCGTGCATTATTTGTCGACGCTGAGACTGGTTGAAAAAAAAGCGGACAGGTGATTAGTGTATGACATGGTGTCGTGGTATGAAAGAAAGCTGCAAAGGGCTGGCTTTTGTTGGTCCTTCATGACTCCCTGGTTGGGGTCCTAGAGATGGTGCTACACAGTGGCTAGAGACGTTATCAGATATGGCTCAGAGTAAAAGCCAGTGGCGATCCTGCTGCAACCTTCTTTTACTTTCTTCATTAAAAAATGGTTGTTTCTTCCTTAACTGAACGATTTCTTCTGGTTGTACCTTTTCGTTTCCCCCATTATTATTATTATTATTATTAATACATTATCTCACACTAATTTGTGGTCTTTATTGTTCTTTTTTCCTTACTTTCTTGTTCTCTTCTCATTGTTTTGTGTGGCGCATATATATATATATATATATATATATATATATATATATATATATATATGGTGCCCCTTGTACCAATATTTATGTGTCCAAATAAATAAAAATAAAATCGGCTTTTTCCAACTTACGTCACCTATGGCGAAGGCGAGATATTCGTCTATTAAGAGTAGGGAATACACATAAGTTACTATTATTTGATCATAGACGTCGCAGAAATGTTACTCATATCTGATGAGATCACCGGGCAAATCATAGTGAGGTTAAACGCAATATATTAAGGAATGATGGGAAATCAGTTGAGCAGGTTGTGAATCTACATCGACTGAGATGATTGGGCTACGTATTACGCACGACCAACCACCGGTTACCACGGCACACGTTTTTATTATCGAGTAGTCAATGACTGGAACGCTTTACCCGAACAAGTGGTAAGAGTCCTATCAGTAAATATTTTCAAGAATAAACTGGAAATTCACTGGGAAACGAACTGCAAGGATTAACACGGGTCCACCAACCTACTATCCTTATTACTGTATACTGACCTATGAGCGGCGCTAAATTGACATTGAGATCTGCTTACTCACTAGGGCCAAAAGAGGGTTATAGGTTAGTGCGAGGGACCGAAACTAGGAGTTCGAAATTATGGTTAGTGTTTTCACCACAAACTGATATAAGGTATAATGCAGAAATGATCTTTGATCACGTGGATGAATAATTTTATGCCAAAATCTAAGGTCTTCTATCGTTAGTCTGATTGGTATGCCCATAAATTACAGTCTTATCTTCATTAGTTCTAGATTATATATTAAACAAACTGATAATCGCAGTAAACAAATGTTTTGTGTGTACACTAAAAACGTCAGTTATTTCCAATCTAAAGACTTTAAGGAAATATTGAGTTTGTCCCAAAAGGCATGTGGAAATTCTTAGTTTTTACAAGCTTATGGAAATTCTGAGCAAAACCCCCACATCAATTAGGAATGAAGGTTATTTCCACAAATCCAGTGGAAATTAATTTCAAGAGTTGGGAAGACCATGGAGGAATAAAGAAAACCACGAAACTTTTGTGGAGTTGTGAGAAAAGCAGAGGATCAGGGGCGATATTGATGTTTTGTTGCACTATCGCAAAATATCTTCCAGATCGGGGGATCGGAGATGTTTTCAATAAATAAGTTTTGGAAGAACGAACGTATATTGCATTAAAACTATACAAAAGCCATTCATAACTTACGTTCGTTTTCGTTTTTCCGATGTGTGAGGCGGCTTGATGGAATTACTAACGTCATGGACGTTCGGTTTAAATTCTCCCATAAAGTTGAAAACATTTGTCTTAATGTTGTCCGAATAAAATGAACTATCAACGACGCTATCACCAAAGTACTGCCGTCCAACGGAATCACCGAGACCCCTACTATCTTCAACCATGAGCAATCAGCTGTCACGAATAATCCCAAGAATTGTATAAGTAACGTATGAATTCCAATATGTAACGTGTCCAATGTACTTGTAATGACCTGTTATAAAACAATGGAAAATTATTTTATTCATGTGGACGTTACGGAAAAGTCTCAGTAGATGATGAGTGTGTTATGAGCTTGATATATCTGTTCGTCTAGTAGTTCATCTAGACGACGGTAGTATGTTTGCATATATTTGATTGTCTTACCAGCTCCTGAAATGTTTTGGTGAACTTCCTTTCGTTGTTTATCTCATAGTAACTTGTACGACCATTCGTATTATATATATTTGTTATATTTAAAAGCTAGTCCATATTTCGTGCCAAATGTTTGCTGTCAATATGAGCGGGGTCGTAGATCAAATATCACTGGGATTACTTAGTGGCCAGCAAACCACAAGAGCAAGAGCAAATGTAAAAATAAAAAACTGCATTACTAAAGATCTCGGATTTATCTTACCTACTAATCAAGATTGTTTACTGATGGCAGTGTAGTTGGTGAGACTTACAAGATTGTTTGCAGCTAGTATGTAGCAGAACGTAATGTCGGTATCAAAAAGTGTTAGACGGATAGAAGAGTTATAGTAAATCGAATGTACGGGGTTGACAGAACGAGTGAAGAACAGACGAGAAGATGGTTCAGATGGAGAAAATGGACGATTGTATGATGTAGATACATTGCATAAATACTTGGTGATTTATCACAGCAAATATACGTTCTCCTGACCGTTGACAGCCTTGCGGCAGAATGTCAGCCACTTTTTCCGTGTTTGTTAACCACGATGGTTATTTTCTCGTTCAGAATTTTCACCAATACAGCCTACGGTTTTGTTGCCGTTGATGGTATTTCAATTGGCTTAAGTATCCATACTTGCATCATGTTTATATTTTTAACATTTTTTATGAGGAATACGTTAAAATCTCACTGGTATTAGATGGTGGAATTATGAAAGATTAACTGAGCTGTAGATTTTAAAGTTCTCATAATGATAGGACGCCCATTTTTTACTTCAAGGACTATGTGTAAACCTTTCATTACTACCTACTACGTGACAACTGTTGTCTCTAACAACAAGCCTTGCTTTTTGTGGTTGTGACGTTGTTCTCGTTCAGCTTTCCGTTTACCGGTTTTGTTTCAAGAATCACTGTTGGTCTTAAAGGCTTTTCATGTGTATAGTTAGTAAAATTTCGTTAGACATTAGCCAAATAATCTACCTGTCGGATCACTGAATATCGGGCAGTTTACCAGTCCTCGTCAATGTCAGAGATATCCAACGATCATCATTGACTTGCATGCCATGGAATAGCTCATTTAGCAATGTTCACAAACCCTTCATTGCACCCACTCTTATCAATGCATTTCTCCAATAGCGTTTCTTGTGTTGTATGTTCATCAGAGTGACCATAGTAGCTGGACACGACAAGGAGTTATCCACTTTTGAGTATGAACCGTGAGGTGTGACTTCAACGCAAGCTCGTTGGTCATGCCATTTCCGTCCAAAATGAGTAGCCTTCCAAATATCGAATCAAAGAGCATTTACATTTTTAACCTACACATATTTGGAAAACAATATTTCTGGACCGAAGTTCACCTTAAGGATTTTGGTGTGTATTTCTTGTCTCTCAGGAGCGTTTGTTAGAAGATTTGTAGCATGCACAATGATGTCAACTTGAAGAGTACCCTGAGTCGTCTTGGGATATGTAGTCAGACTCCAGGCTATAATTGATTGTGATCTTATAACTACATTCGCATTCCTGACTTCACTAGTTTTTTCGACGCATTTCAGAACGGAACTACAAAATTTCACAGTGATCGCCAGCAAACTGACTCATAATGAGCTACGAACTACTGTAACAACTCTTCTAGAACTCTCCATCTAAGTGATTCCAAAACGAAGTCATGTAAACAGAAAACGGTCGTCCAAAGCTTACTGTTTGATATCAAAGGGGCATGAGAACTGTATCTAGGTAGATAAAATATATCCGCTTTTGTGACAATTAAAATAAAAATCTCAAAATATAAATTGGAATTTATTTCGCCCAAAATTTTTAAAAATACAAATAGGACAATAATCCACACCATGTGGGGATTCGCCCGGGTTTTGCTGGGTTTATTTATGACTTTAACTTGACATATCGGTATGGCGCTCTAAAATGGAGCAATTATTTGAATAAATTCATTCAAGTTAGTAAAATGGAGTAGAGCTTTCGAACAGACGTAAAATAATCATAAAGTTAGTGAAAATAGTCCTTTCTACTTTCTGTAGAGCGACTAAGTTATCCGTATTACATTATATCAGGATCACCCCATTCTGTATCTTGACTTGCCCTAACTTGTAACCATGGGAGAGTCAGGGTTACTGCTTTGTAAAAATATTTGAAGAGCAAACACAATCTTACCGACAAAAGGATATATCTGTTACCAAGACAAAAAGCGTGCATAAGGTGATGAAACCTTCATGTTCGAACAAAGCGGTACCGATACTTTAGTGACGTTCTCGACCCTCACCAATTTTTTATCTGCCATTCAGCACCTAGAGATGAGACGTCTGAGAAAAAGTACATTAAGCTTGAAGGATCGAATGGGTAGAATCAAATGTTACTTCAGAACCTAAATGCAATTAACGAGCAAGGACACTTAGAAGTTGTTCTTCGCAAAGAAAGTAGCTTAGTAGGAGGCTTATTTAACTTACCAGTCTATTCAAGAGTAACCAATGGGACATAGAATAATGTTGAACGGTTCTCATTGATCAAACTTCTACAACCACAAAAATTAGTTAAGTACACAAAACAGGTGAAACCAACACTTTTTCTCGCAGCATAATGAGGAATTATTCATCAAGTGTGCTGTATAAAATCATACATGGACGGCAAAATACTAGATTATAATCCTGGTTCAGCGCCGAGTAGATGTGATAAGTGCAAAGCAAAAGGGAATCTCACTTCAAAGTACGGGTTGGAATTTGTAACAAAGGTGACTTTCGTATTGGATCAATGAGGTCACTGTAAGACAGGATACGGAAAACGACTACTAGGTCTGAACTACTAGCTCAGTAAAAACGTTGATATAAGATGTTCCATCATGTGAGTTTCCTGAGTACTTAACTCTCAGAAGACAGGAGCCCGATTTATTTTAAGTAATGAAATAGTTTTCAAAAGTTTTAGACTTTTAGTAGGTCTCGCTTTCGCTCGGCTGAGTCACTTTGTATTCCCAGATGATTAGACTGTGATGGAAGATAAAGGTGTCAATTTCTGCAGTCATTAAAGCCACAAACTAAGACCTCAGTGTTATGATCAACCTGAAAATTTTTAAAAATACGTTGTATTTTTAAGGATTACGTTAAAGTTGTTCTGAGTCATGGCATGAAACGATTGAATTCGTCAGAAATTTTCAGTCATTTTCATTCTAGTTAAACGGTCTTTCTGGGGGTACAGAAGACATTGAAACCACTGTCTCCTTATGAAACCGACGTTAAAAGAGTCACACGCTTCGACGGCGAAGTTTGGAACTCGGTGCATATCAGGATTAAGTTTTAGTAGGAATCAGTGGTGCTAGTCTGTCTTCGCCTAGTATTGTCAACCATAAGGATCAAGAAAGAACAGTAAGGAATGAAATGGCGAAAATATATGTAAACAGGATAGAACGTTTCACTTGACGGGCTTTTGTATATAATAGCAGTGGGTCATCGATACCTCCGGGTATATTTAATAAAGAACTGAAAAATACATACACGTTATAGTAAAATAGCGTTCCGAGTTTTGAAGAGTGTCTCAGGGGCTCTCGAAATGCCCTCGGACAACCTCAACCAGCAGCAAGTTACCCTATCCGACCACTCAGGAAATAGAATGTGTGGATAGAGTCACTCTTAATATCCTGTGTCTCTAATTTCGTGGTGTTACCCCTATGATCTGTGTGGAGACTAAGCCCAAGTAAATATTTAAGAGAGTGCCTTAAAGTGTTTGGAATGCTATGAGCCGTTGAAAAACGCCTGTACTCTGACAAGTAAGGATCTATTGCTTTAAGATGATCCTCATAGGGTTAAAATTTGAATCCTAGAACCAATACCGAGGCTCAACGTTGAATATATTCCAGTTTTTTGGGATATTCAGAAAAGTGTCCCAAAAATTATCCTGTTGAGTCTAATGCTATCCTTGGAGTTGAAATGGTATCATTTTCTTATTGGTCAACATTTATTTCACGTGATGATGTCACAGGTATTCAGTGTTTGACAACGCTTCTACCAGTAACACCTTCTAATGTATTTCGTTCCCACCCAGAGAAATCAAAAGACAGAGTCGAGGAGATCGGAAGAGTATATTTGGCGATAACCAATATAACGGAATTCTCTGATCTAATCTGGCTAGCGATTGCGGTTGATGTTGAGCACGGCGTTACCACACGTGATCTGGTGCGGATGCCTGACCGAGCGCCTTCAGCTAGATGAGTCCACTAAAACATATGGTCAGCATCCAATGTCGAAAACTTAGAGCTAGTTATTTTGGGGATTTATTTACCGCTACAGATCACTCCCCCCCTAGTGGGGCAGTGACGACCCTAAGACGTGGCCAGCCAGAAGTTTAAACCCAACGAGTTTGTCGTTGGTAAACACTCTTCTGATAGCTTACTAAGTGTAGCAGCGTCTGGTCGTCTTTCCTTACTATATGGGACGGAGGTACAACATAGTAAAAAAAGAAAATGTACAATGAAAATTTCGGATCCTCATAAACGTCAACGTTCTTTTCCAGCCGTCCTGGAAAAGAAGAAAGAAAATGTAAGTGCATGTCGGAATACACTGGTATGTGCGTAAAAACACAATGTCGGCGGAAAAAAAATGGAAAATAAACTCATGAACACGTAATAGCGTTAAAAAATTGTTTTTTATGTTTTGTTTTTTTTTAAAAATAAAAATATAAATATATAGGGATAATAAAATTGTCTTTTTTTAAAAAAAATTATATATCGTTAAAA